GGCGAAAGGGTTGTTGTTGGGAGAAAGAATATTGGACAACCCCATTTGGGTTCTTGGACCTATGCAAACTAGCACGAGCGGTGTCTTGCACTGCTTGAAAAGACGGGGGGCTGGGATTGTAGCCCTAAACCCTATACCATGTACAAGAGGATTGGCATATGCTTCATCTCCGCTGTTTTTTTTGACTGCCGGTTGCTTTCGGCACCAAAATGAAGCGATCAGATGCAAACAAGAAGGTATGCTATCCTAAGGGCCCAAGTATTCCAAGTGGGTGGTTGTCAAAATTAGGGTTCCTGTTTGGGTACCCTAATTATTAGGTGCCGTATTATAATAGGGATCCAAAAAGGAACCATAATTTTGACAACCACCCAAGTCTAGAGCTTCAAGTGCCACATGCAACTCAGCAGTTTGGACGTAAAGTCGTCATTTTAGAGCACTTGGACCTTTGTAAGGTTATACTACCCTAGAAGCCCAGGTACCCATATAGTAGGTTCTTTCGTTATAGATAGTATAAGTTTATATAGGGACCCAAGGACAGGAACTCAATGTATAGGTAACCGGGCTTCTAGGGCTAAATTGTAAGCTCTGAAAACCCCAAACTTGAATTTCTTACCTCCACCTCCCAGCTCCGCATGGCCCCAGGGTTTACACCTTCCCAGACCCCTGGGAGGATCTAGAAAGTAGAACCCCCAATTTGGTACCTTATACTAATATTGGGTAATTCCAAGGAACCCTTAAGGGGGATCTACTTTCTAGATCCTCCCAGGGGTCTGGGTTAGGCCCTGACGGTTTTTTCCTGGAATTTCGAAGAGGAGTCTTAGGGAGTTGTGGGGACTGTACATAAGGGGATTATGGGAGTCCCTGCTGCGGAGTACGTGGACCTCAAAGGCATGTAGAATAATGGCCATTCTTACATTTAATGGGTTTCGGTCGTGGTTTTACCTACTCTTGGGGTCCAAGTGGGTTCATGAGACGTCACACAGGCATATTTGGGAGTTCGAAAAAATGGTTCCCACATCAGCCTTAACAAGGATCCATACAATCCGCGCATATGCCCCCATAATTTGCTTGGCGTCCATAAGAGCCACCACTTCTGAGCAACACCCTTTCGTGCGCCCCAGGAGGATCACCCCGCTCAAATCTTGACATGTATTCCCATGCGTCGTCCCGCAATTCAGGACCTTACATCAAACAGTTTGTTTCTTGGGTCTTCGGAAGCTTAACAACAGACCTAGTCGTGGTTCCTGCAGGCCCGTGCAAACTGTTCCGTCCCTAAACCTTAATCCCGAAGCAAGCCCACAACTCTCAATCCTGAATCCTACACTCCCAGCCCCTCTGATCAACCCTGAATCTTAAGCCGTAAAACCTTCAGCCCTAAACTTTGAATCCTAAACCCCAAACCCCAAACCTAATCCCTACACCCCCGACCCTGAACCCTAAACCGACCTCCTGCAAAATTTCAGGTGGTAGCCTTCCGGTGGCCCAGCGGGTGCCATCAGAGGTTCTCCTGGAGGCCTGCCAACTACAGTTTGTTGTGCCTCGGAAGCAATCACCCTAAGGGTCCAAGGACCCAAATAATGGGGTTCTAGGGCCTGAATACCATTGATATTATAATATTTGGGCCCTAAAGCCCAATTATTTGTGTCCTTGGACCCTTAAGTTGAGGTTTAGGGTCTGAAATTTAGGGTTTGTGCTTCGGAATCCTTACCTCCAAACCAAAAGTATAGAAGCTACTGTCAAACATCAAACATATCAGACTTAAAAAGGGTTTACCATATTCCCTAAGATAGTCCCTTAGGAAGGAACCCATGTCCATCAAGTTATGTAGGAAATATTGACGGTAGCTCATATAGAACTACAGTCTGCTGGGCTATTTTCATGTGGTTGGGAGGATTTTTGTTTACCAACTTTAGGATTCCAGGTAGCATTCTTTTCTTAAAGCCGAAGAGAAAGATGGAAGCTAATAATGGGGTTCAGGGTTAAGGGTTTACGGCTGAGGGTCTGGAGTTTGGGGTTCAGGATTCAAGGAGGGTAGTAGGGAATGGAGGCATGTAAAAGAAACCGAAATTTACGTTACCCAGGGACATATGGGGCTACAAAAAGGAAAATGAACAGAGCCATCCTCGTCTGCAATGTTACACAGCCCGCCTAAAAACGCTGCATATATGTTCATGATAAGAAACCTTACATATTGGGGAGGGTATACTGGGAGGAAGGGTATACCCTGAGGGTCAAAGGACCCAAATATCAGGATCTTAGGGCCCAAATACCATTAATATTGTAGTATCTGGTCCCTAAAACCCTATTATTTGGGTCCTTGGACCCTTAGGGTATAACCAGTGCTTCTGGTTTCAGGTTCAAGGTTAGGGCTTGGATTCTCGCAGTCATCTTTCAGGCTAAGTTGTGTTGATTCCTATTGTTGGCCATAGGGTGCGGTACCCCAGGCCCTACAACCCTAAACGCTGTGTAGGAGTCAGCCCGGGTATCAGATCTAGGACTAAGAGATTTTTGGGTTTGAGGTTGGGATTCTGCAAGGATAGTGGTTACACGAAATGATAAGGATGGAATACCAGTAATGTTCCCCAGAAGCCCAGGTACCCATATAGTAGGTCAGTGGGGGGATTGGATTTTTTTTGTTTCTTGACCCTCAGTCATCACACGCTGGGGAGTAGAGCTTAAGCTTCAGTACGGATGAGAGCTTGGTAGGAATCGGCAAGCGGACGGTTACATTGAGGTTTCCTTTGTGTTTGGCATACCTGGCGGAAGGAGCCACGTGATGAGGAATTATTCAAATCCGGCTTGGCAAAGTCATGCGCAGCCGAAGGCTGAAAGCCGAATCTATAAAGCCCAAGCCCTGTCCCTAGCAAGCCTATGCAATCCTAAAGCCGGGTTCTGATTACTGAGCCCCCCCAACAAGCAAAGGAACTAAGAGTCAGGGGACCCTCTATCTGATTTCGGCAAACTTGTTCGGGGTTTCGGGAACTGTCAATTGCAACTGTCCATTGCCGGGGTTCAATGGTCTGACTTGGCGAAAAGTTCGCTCTACTATTCCGTACCCGTTTTATAAATCCGTTCAGCCACAAGTTCGCTGTACTACGAACCCATCCACGAGTCCGAAGCTACAATTAGACCTCAAAACCCCGCATCCGAAGTACAACCAGCCCCAGGCTCCTCCAAACCTGATCTGAAATTCCTAAACTCGGAACCCTACCTGAACCCCAAAAGTATGTAACATAATGGCCTTTTGGGCTATATTTAGGGGTTTGGGGCTATGATTTTACTTACTTTTGGGGTCCAGGTAGTCCCAATAAGACACGACCCCGAAACCCAACAGATCCTAAAACCCCGAAACCTCGAAGGCATGAGCCTGAAACCGAACAAACCCTAAACTCTGATAACACGACCCTAAACTGACCTTAACCCTAGAGTCTCTAGAGCCTACCAATTTTATCCCCAGATATTCCTATATAATCCCTATATCCCCAGCTGAACAAAAACCCTCAACCCAGGCACCTAGCTTGGCAGCAGACGCCGGCCGAGAGCTCGGAATTCGAGAGTTCGGCTACAAGGACGGATTTTCAGTTTAGGGCTTAAACGCTTACAGGGGGAACCTTAAGATTGTCCCTAAGTCCCTAAGTCTATCAAATACGCAATCCCTGCAGTTGGCTCTATAAGGTCTATGAATAGTATCCAAATGGGGCCATTTAGAGCCTAAGTCGTGGGATCTAGGGCTTCATGAGAAATCAGGGCTTAGGGCCCTCTAGGGTGGGGGTTTATGCTTCAGGGGCTGGGAGTTCAGGGCTCACGGTTCAAGGTTCAGGTTCAGGGTTCAAAGTTCAGGGGTTTGGGTCTAGGGTTCGGGGTTTAGGATTCAGGGTTGTGCCTGCCAGACCCTGAAGCGTGTAGCATGATGTTTTGTGTTAGGATCACTGACAACCTGCTCTGGTGGTTCAGTCGGAGCCTATACGAAATCAGGATTCGCGCCCTAGGTTTATGGGTCTGCTTTTGGGATTCCGGGCTTAGTGTTCAAGGTCTAGGTGTCGGGGTCCAGGGATTAAGGTATATAGGCTTCCAGGTAGAGAGAGAGAGAGAGAGTGAGATAGAGAGAGGGGGGGAGAGTTCCACTGTTGATGGACAAAAGTTTGCATGGAAGTGCATACTTAAATCCTGGACAGTAACATCAGGCAGCAGATTAAGGCTTATACAGAATTCTGCTCTTTCACCGAATTTACGAGCCAGGAATGAAAGGAATGGTTCCCAAAGGGTCCCTGTAGCTATATGGTATATACTTAGGGCCCAAGGGGGTTCCCATATACCTACTTTAAGGGCTAAGTATATACCATATAGCTACATGGACCCTTTGGGGTTTATGTGACGATTACAAGCAGGGTTTGACTGGGAGACCTTGCACAGGAACAATGACAGGGATCCCGAGCTCACCCCAAAACACGACGGGGCTTAAGGTGAAGGGTTAGGTCGGGATTTTTGGGGTTTGTGATTGATTTGTGGTTTACTGTTTTGGGGCTGGGGAGCTTAGCCTAGCGCTTTGGGGTTTCTAGGATCTTGGTGGGGCAAGAGCATCAAGTGCTCCTTGTTAAGCAGACTGTCGGGGGGTTCGACCCTACCCTTACGGTCCAAGTACGCGATCATTGGTTGTACTTGCAGTTGTAGCACAGGTTTTGGGAAAGCATCTGATCACGGAGTACTTGGACCCTTAGGGTCAGGCTTTAGTCAGGGAATGAGGAAGGCAGCGCATGATAAGAGGCTTCATGACCTGCGTGTGGTGCCTAGACAGGCTATTGACTATTGTCCTTGTGACGAGGTGCTAGCTGGGGGTGGGGGGTGGGGTCCAAGTTGTTTTGGGGAAGGCACAGTAACTCTTGCGTCTTAAACAGGGTTTAGGGTTTAACGCTTTTGGGGACTCTTGCCAGCTTCTATTTTGTTCAAGAATGATTCAAGACCGCTTCAGGTAGAAGCGACAGGAGATAGTCACATGAGCGGGAGTCTAAACTAGGAGTTTAGACTGTAGCTCACATGGCAATGAAAGCATTGTCGCAGCAACTCAGGTCGCAAGACCAGCAACTCTATAGGCAAGTACGTGCTCGTTTAAGGACGCCAGAGTTACCATTGTGCAAAGATACGAATTGGCATTGCCTGTGACGTAGAACCCTGGATAATTACCAATATGGTGGTGTAATAGACCTCAGAATTCTACTGTGGATACTAATAATCCTGCATGACCCTAAGTACCTTATAGCTTGGGAATTCTGGGATTATAGTAGACTAAGGTCATGCAGGATTTTTAGTATCAACAGTAGTGATATTTATCTCGGCCCTACAGTACGGCTCGATGACCCAGACTGGATCCGCTGGTGTGGCCCTAGCTCCGGGCAGCTGCCACCCTTGTTTTGAGTGGGACGCGACCAGTGCCCTAAGGGTCCCAGGTACTCAAGAGTCCTATACGTATAAAAAATTGCAGCACAACCACATACCCAACTATTGGTGGACCCTTGTGGGTACGGCTAGTCACTGTCCCAACGTTTCTGCTGCCTGGTTCGCATGGAGTTTGAGGGTCATGAAGCAGTGGGTTCGTGAGATGCAAGAGAGGCTCACTATACTCAGGCGCTAGGTTTAGGGTTTAGGGTAGGGTGTCCCAGGGAGACCGATACCACTTGAGTAAGGAATTCAGCCTAAATCATAATTTAGGATTTTGGCTTTTGGGATCCTAGTATCTATGTTCCTTAATCAAGCGGTCTTGGGCTGTCTGGGTTAAGGTCTTAGGGTGCGAAATTCCTCGCCCTGCTCAGCATGTTCGACCTTTGGGCCACCCAAAGTAACACAGCATTCTAGCGTCACTAGGTCGAAGTCTTTGTATTGAGATGAGTCAGGCAGTGATCTTCGGCACATGTGAAAAGAACCAGCCCAGCCCCGAGCCCTATAGCCTATGCGGGCCCTTGCCCTAATCAAAACCTCAAACCCGAGACCCTAAATCCCGGAACCCTAAATACCCAAACCCTTTTTTCAAGTTAATTTTCCCCGAACCCATAAAACCTCAGCACTGTAGCTTATACAAACATTACGCCCTGAGACCTTTACTGATTCTAGGGTTTAGGGTTGAGGCTTGGATGAGTTATTTCTGGCACCACATAGAATTCTCGATTTACCGTAATTCCTACGGAGTAGAGTATGACCTTAAACCCTAAACCCACCGCTGCCCTTTTGAGAAGGAGAGAAACATCGCAACCTTTGGTATGAACCCATTCAGTATACGCTATTCAGGTAAATCCACTCCTTAGCATAAATTTGAAATCCCTACAAACGATACGTAAACCGCCGATCCCTAAACCTCTGAACCTTCAACCCCTAGACAAACCTAACTTAATCATGAACTGGAGTCGCGCACAGACAGAGAGGTGAAAGAGAGAGACACCCTAAGGGTCCAAGGACCCAAATAACAAGGTTTTAGGGCCCAAATACCAATAATAGTATAGTACTTGGGCCCTAAAACCCTGTTATTTGGGTCCTTGGACCCTTAGGGACAGGGAGGGAGAGTGCGCTTGGCAGGAGCTAGTTGCCTGCGTCGAATGGGCCGAGGGGCAGTGGCTCCAACACCTTTGGAGAGACGCGGATAGGCTCAGGGGAATGGAACAAACGCGGCAACTTCCGAAAGAGATTCCCTAGTAAGGTTTTGTCTTGGCTTGATGTAGAGTTTAGGGGCTTGTCGTAGAGTTTAGGGGGTTCAGATTTAGGGTCTAGCCGTTGTGAGGGCAGGGCTATGTGTTGAATATTCAGGGTGTATGCTTTGGGTGTATATTGCTCAGAGTGGTGCGCAGTTCGGGCCTAGGCTTTACGGCTGCCAGGTCCTCAGGGGGCGGGGCTCAGAGTTCTGGGCTGCGGTTGGGTGAGTCACGGTCAAGGTTTCGGGTTGAGGGTTTAGCTAAGCTATTTTCCATGTCTGGGACACCTGATGGTTTGGTTCGGCATTTTGGACATCGTCCTTCCATCTGTCTGTCCCTCCGTCTGCATCTCTCTCTCTCTCTCTTCTCTCTCTCTCTCTCTCTTTCTCTTCTCTCTCTGTCTCTCTTCTCTCTCTCTCTCTCTCTCTCTCTCTCTCTTTGCCTTTCACTTTCTCTTTTTGTCTCGAGCTAGCGCATGCGCTTGCTCACTCTCGTTGCATTCGTCCTTCATGGAATCATCATGAACCTGAAGTCTTCGGTGTTCAAGCGGACCCAGACGCGAGTTCGTCAAATGAACCTGAAGGATCTCCAACAAGTTTGGCCGAAAAAGACAGAATCCAGCGCGGCAAAATTTTGCACAGAAACTACATTCCTGGGTCCTGCCTGACAGCGCCTGTGTGAGCGTGGCCTGTGGCTTGGAGGACCCATGAGCCTTGCCAAGGGCGTCGTCTTCAAGGGCACGGTGACAGTGAAGAACACCGGCAGTACGGAGAAGGCACCTCAACGTTTCTCAAATAAACTCCCCTGTATCCCTGGCGCGGATCTCCATCATGTAAATGCGCAGCGCCATTATCACCCCTACCGTGCCCCAATCTGAGAAATCTTCAGCTAATCTGAGCTATAGTCTCAACTCCTGAAAACAGGGTTACATGGAGCATAAATCATAAAGGGGACTATTCCACGGGATATTAAGGAGGATACGAGGAATCTGGGCGATAGCTATTCTGAGACCGGAGAAGCCGATTTGTGCAGCTGGGATTTAGGGCTTAGGTTTTAGGGTTTAGGGTTTATCCACAACAGGCTAAAGCTTGCAGAGGTAGATTCGAGGCTCAACCAACCACCCATATGGTGGTAGCTCCAGCTTAGGATTTAGATTGGTTACTATATGGGTTGTAGGGGTTATATTAGGATAATGGAAAAGAAAATGGACACCATTATTGTAGATTCCTTATGCGCTTGAGGTAATTATGGGGGATCTCAAGTAGACCTCAAAATGAGAAAAGTGATGATTTAGGCCCTTTTACAATTGCTGAGGAGCTCGCTGCCGGTGTCTACGAGGACAAGACGGTCCTAGACTCAGCGATGTAGGGCGGGCACTTTGTCCGTCGGATGATGAAATTAACCCCTCCCTAACACCCACGCTACACAGGGGTCTTATACGGGCATGTAACCCCGATGCAAGGACCACCCCAGGTGGGTACTTACCAGGTTTTTACCAACGCATAAGGCTGGTACAAGGGTAATGGTGCTATGTGAGGTCCATAGAGACACCTACTTTAGGGGTACCCACCTCTTACCTACCCACCTGGAGCGGATGGGAAAGTAGATGGAACATGAGATGGAATCTTGGCTTACAAGCAGTTTCATCATCAGAAAACTCTTCACACCCCTCCTCATCCTAAATTCTAAAGGTTCTTTAGGGTTCTATAGGGTTTAGGGTTTAGGGTTTGTTCAGATTTTGCAGCCATGAATTCGAAGTCTCTCTTAAACTGCTGTTTCCAGGGAGGGATCCAACATTCGCTGGCGAAACGATGATACCCCAAGCCTCAACCCCAAAAAACCCAAAACCCAAAACCCTAGAACCCAAACCCCCTTTCAATCCCAAAAGCCTTAAAACCCTGCACCCTAGAAACCCCTAAAACCTTAGAAAACCCTGGCAGGTGGAGCTCTAATCGATTCATTGATTTGCTATGCTAGGCCGTTCGGCCAACTCTGGCCCGAAACCCGGGCAATTGCTTCCACTGGGATTAGTGCTTAGGATTTTAGGGTTTAGGGTTTAGGGATACAACGGTTTCGGATAGACCATGAACATATATATATATATATGTATACATATATTCCTTATGAAGTTGGTCAAGAATGTGGTTTCATAGGGCCCCAAAAGCTATCCCAGTCCAACTTGCGCCCAACTGGTGTTTCAGCTGCTGCCGGACAAGCTGGCAGGGCCTGATGCGCCCTTTTCGCTGAAACGTAAACAGATTTATGATCCATACCGGTCTAGGTTTCAGGGCTTAGGGTACAACAGCTTTATGATCCAATCAGCTTTTTGCGGAATTCTACATCCATTCAAGTGCACCCATAAATATGCTCAATGAAGCCATGAAGGGCAGCAGGAAGCATGCAATTGATGTACCCGGTGTGCGTGGGCAAAATATGAGCGCCACCATTCCTCCCGTAGTCTCCAGACCATTTTAAATGGACAGCCTGGACCTGTCAACTGCAAGCTGGCATGGAGTTTAGGGTTCAGGGCTTAGGGGAGAGTAAGATGGAAACAATCATATTAATTGCGGGTTCAGGGCTTGGGGTTGGGGCTTAGGGCCTAGGGATTACGGTTTAGGGATATATCACCCCAATGAAGGAGAAGCAAATGGAAAAGGAAATGGAAACCCTGGGTCCCTTAAAAGGGGTTGTACAGATATATCGGGTTTAGGAATGTTACCATAATGGGGGAAAAATCAAATGGAAGGGAAAAAGGGAGCATCAAATAGAGGCTTGGCTTTGTGTAGGGTTCGCCTAGGGATAATATGCAGGGCTTAGAGGTTTATAGAGAGATATATAGGGTGCAGGGAGAAGATAAGCATTGCTTGGGTACTGCCCCCCCTCAGTAAGAGTTGGATAATTATTCTAATATGGTTATATATAGCCCTTAATAGGACCCCTAGTATAGACTATTAGTGGGGGGTGCAGTACCCAAAGCATTGCAATGGTGACCCAGCCTAGCTAGAAGGAATGTTGCGTTGGCTTGGTCCAGGAAAACAGCTCGACCGTGAAGTTTTCAACCCAGCGCAAGAAGCCAGCGGTAAAAGATGAATCCCTTGGCAGTGATCACCTCCCCCAATCACAATCCTGCCAAACCCCCACTAAAAACCCAACTGAGACCCCAAGCCTCCAACATGGTACCAACATATGAGCTATAGTCTAAACTCCTTAAAGGGGGGTTAAGGGGGATACAAGGAGTTTTAGACAACCACCCATATATTAGGGGGGAGGATTTGAAAATAGGCGGGGTGAATCTCTCCTCGCATCCCCAGGGGGTCCAAGTCATTATTCAAGTGAAAGACTCTTCAAGATGGAAAGTCGGGGTGTTTTCAGAATATATTCCCTCTACAATCATAAGTCAGGACCCCCATAATCCCCCCCCAAACCCTAAACCTGAACCCTAAACCCGACACCCGAACCCTAAACCTGAACCCTAAACCCTAAACCTGAACCCGAAATTCTAAACTGCAATACTATGATCCCTCAGGGCCCCCTTTCTAGAGAAACTCCTGCTTACTGTCCAGCCTGGGTTCCACATGGGCGTTTCTCAAAATCATGGCCCCGTGTTGGCCATAAATTTTAGGGTTTAGGGTTAGGGGTAGTAGGCAATATAGTATAGGGTTTAGAGGGTTTAGGGTTTAATTTTAAGGGGTACGGAAGTGGGAGCCTAATTTTTGAACATTGCCCGCCTGTGCAGCAGCCGTTTGAACTGGGAAGCTGCTGCCAGCCATGCCGGCCATGGTTCTGCTTGGCGAGGCGCCGTTAAGCAGAGTCAGTTCACTCAGGGGAATGGAAAAGAAAATGGAAGCCACCATATAAGTTAAAAGGGTTCAGGAATATGTAACAGCAGTAATGGAGAATCGAGTGGAAAAGAAAACAGACATTTCTAATGGTGACTGGGGTTTATAGGGAATTTCCACAAATAGTGATGCCCAATACAGATCGCAAACTACAACACTCCTTATCATGGGGATCCCCAAGAATAGGGACCGCTGTTTGTTGGAAAGCCTGCGTTCACTCGAGACAAGCACATGCACACACGTATCTAGCGTCCATGCAAATGGGGAGGCATTGGTTTGCCGGCATCGCGGTTTAGGGTTTAGGGTCGCATCTGCACACTTTCAGGCCGCAAGATGGACATGTGCAGCGACGCATGAGGCATAGGGCCCCAAGGGATATAGGGATTATAAAGGTCATTATGGGGTCCCCATTTAGGATTATAGAATAATTGAATTTCAGCTCCTTACTAGCCACCTACTAAACCGTAAACCCCAAATCTCTAAACCCTAAATCCTAAACCTCTAAACGTCAAACCCCTAAACCCCAAACCCCTAAACCCTAAATTCTAAACCCTAAGTCCCAAAACCTTAACCCTAAACGAGCTGCAGGAGGAGGAGAAACCCTAAACCCTAGATGATCCCCTATGTAACCCCAAAACCCCTATAACCCTATAACCCTAAACCCTAAATCCTAAACCCTAAACCCTAAGCCAATGTTGAGGAGCGGGAGCTTCAAAGCTCCGGTGGCTCCTCGCCTCGACGATTCAGGTCCCTTGGGCTGCCTTTATTTAGGGAATAGATGGGGGTTATAGGGTTATAGGGTTTAGGGTTATAGGGTTATAGGGTTTAGGGTTGAGGGTTATAGGGTTTAGGGTTGAGGGTTATAGGGTTTAGGGTTATAGGGTTTAGGCTTATAGGGTTGAGGGTTATAGGGTTATAGGGTTATAGGGTTTAGGGTTGAGGGTTTAGGGTTATAGGGTTTAGGGTTATAGGGTTGAGGGTTATAGGGTTTAGGGTTATAGGGGTTTAGTGTTGACAGGGTTTAGGGTTGAGGGTTATAGGGTTATAGGGTTTGGGGCTTGGGTTCAGGCTTTACGGTCTAAACTCCTTAAAGGGGGTTGTAGAAGTGATTATTTCGCGGAGTGGTTTAGGGCTCACCAAGGGGATACTTGGAGTTTAGACTATAGCTTATATGGGTGGTTTCCCAAAATTAAAGGTACCTTTTAAAGAGGTTATAGGGGACGTATAAGATTTTACAGGGATATATTTTATGGGTAAGGGACATACAAGTATTACACTATTCATGGAAGATTAGATGGAAAAGAACAGGAAACTGGGGTTAGTACAGGAGTAATTTCTTCCTGCAGCTGGCCTCAGGAGTTCGCCTTTGGAGCCAATGGTGCAAATCTTGCCGTGTTTGCTCCAGTTCCTCCCACCTCATACTCGGAGGCGGCTCGGACTGATTCACAACGCACTTTAAGGAAGAGTGCCTTCTATAATGTACTATATTACCTTATATCATAGAATATACTATAATGGACTATGATATGCTATAATAATGGAATGTTACTGAGCCAGCTGAGGTCTCTCTGCCAGCAAGAATATCGGGCTGTCCAGAGGGACGTGGAGCCAAAATTGAGACAGGCCGTGCAGTTCGGACTGAGGTAGAAATTGTTGGTGGCTGTGTTGGCAAGCTCTACGTTCAAACGGCCTTTAGAATCGCCTTTCAGCACGACAGGCTGCCTCTTTCTGGGTTAGTTGAAGACATGCCCCTAAACCCAGACCTCTGACTCATAAGCCCCAACCCCTTAACAGAGATTATGAAAGGGATCCTAATACGGCCCTTAAGAGGAGGGTTTTTATTAATCACAGAGAGGACTGTTGCGTGGGGCCCCCAAAGGTCCCCCAAATAATGTTAAACAGTTATGCTATATATATATATTCTTGAGAGGAGGGGTCTACATTAAACCCCAAACCAGCCCTTGTTTCACAGGTCCAGGAGAGGCTGAGTGCCGAAGTTGACAAGTGGGAGGCAGCCTTACCCTCAGTCCACCATGGTGCTATCAACCCTTCAGCCTTAGGTTTCCATATGAGCTATAGTCTCAACTCCTGAAAGGGGGATATATAAGGGATTATGTAGGGTACTTCTATAGGGGTATAAGGGGGGATATTAGGATTTGAAATCATGGCTCACATATATCGTACCAGCGCAACCCTCCTGTACAGCTGACTTAGATTGTTACATCCTTTGCAGCCTTAATCCTAACAGATCATAATGCCAGTGTCCAGTAGGGTTTATATAGGGATTATAGAGGAATAATGGAAAGAACATGGAAAATGCTATTTAGGTAAACTTTCAAGCCTCCACATGGCAGTTTTTCCACGAATGGCGGTCCCCGCATGTACCCCCCTCCCCCCAATGCTCATCTTCAGAAACGGCCACACCTTCTGCGAATTTTGCCGTAATACGGAATTCGCATATTCAGGCGAATATATATATATATGTATAAGGGAATATGATTTCCATATAATCTCTCTATGTAATATATTCCCTTCATCCCTATTTTACCTAAACCCTAAACCCTTAATATATTTCCCTGCCCTAAACCCTAGACCCCAAACCCTTAACCCTATTAACCCTCAGTAAGTAAGGCCTAAACTGAGGAGTTCCAACATGCCTGCGGCTCCTGTACTGCTGAGCTCTGCTTCGCCTCCATATGCTTAGCTCTGGTTGCAAAGCAGCCGAGGCCCAGATGGGATTTAGGGTTTAGGGTGTAGAATTTGGGGTTTAGGAGTTAGGATTTGGGGTTTAGGAGTTAGGATTTGGGTTTTAGGATTTAGGATTTGGGGTTTAGGGCTTGGGATGTAGGGCCATCCCCAAAAAAATGCAAGTGAGGAATTGTGTCGGAAATAGCCCCTAACCTAGCGTGAGGCCCCTTTTTGTTGCAATGTTCTATGAGAAGAAAAGTCATCTTCAGTCTTCAGGAACCTAAAGCACTTCTCAGGGGGAGACATTTTTATCCACACAGGAAATACGGATGTGTGTCCTACCCTAAACCCTCAACCCTAGTGCTGCGCTTTCGGCAGATGGAGGTAATCCTGCAAGTGACCACAGGGCGCCACTCTCGAGAAGCAAGTCAGGCTTAGGATGAATTGATGACCCAAACAGGGTTTCGCCCTAAACCTAGGCTATTGCGCCCACGCAGTAACAGTCTATAATAGGGATCAAATTAAGGGCGGTATATAATTAAGAATTTTATGATTGTTCAGGTGTTACTGGGTGCGGGCGGTGCCCCACCTAAACCCCAAAATGAGGGCACTGGAGCGACTGGCTGCCGTCCTCTTCCGGCAAGTAAGAATTCTAGGAAGAGTTCCATGTCACTCCCTATTCAGGATCCCAGCTGTATCCAATGTAAACATTTCTCACTTTGGAGCCTCTGAAAAATGGAACTTATAATATCAGTAACAATAACAGTCATAGTAGTACTACTAATAGGATAATGGTGATACTAATAATGACACACCGGTTCTGAGGAGGCGCCTCAGCCTATCTGTCCCCAGGCTCCCTGAGCCCTAGGCCTTGCACTTTAAGCTCAAGAGTAGAAGAAATTTCGTAGTTTCCCAAAATAGGGTTTAGGGTATACGGGGATCCCAATATAGACCCCCAAACTCTATCATCCTTATTCTAGGGACCCCCCCAAAAAACCACATTTGGCTCCAGGTTATGTCAACTGGTGTTCCCGGTCATAGGCAGGAACTTGCAGCTGTGAATTTCTTTGTCGATTCGGCTTCAACCTAGACCCGATCATATTGGGTTTCGATTGAAATGATGGGAAGTAATACGGAAACTACGATTTAGGGTTTAGGGTGTAGACCCTTGATTAATAAACCCCTCCCCTTAACAGGGATCATAATAGGGATCCTAATATTAAGGCCTTTAAAAGGAGAGGGTTTATGAATCATGGGTCTACATTTGGGCTTTAGGGATCCGAGGGTGGGTCCGAGTGCTCAAGTTCAGCCCAGCAAGCATGACAAATACTTATAGACAGTGAAAGTTGATTCTGAGTAGTGCCCATGGGGTAGTATTAGGGTTATATTGGGGGATAATGGAAAATAAGAGTGAAACTAGTATTTAGGGCTTCCGGTTTCTGAAAGTGAGGCACGCAGGTTGTCTTGTCTTCAGGATGTAGATTTCACTTCTGCTGTTTTCCTGACATTGCCATTTATTAATGGATATGCTGGAAGCCTGAATAGTCACGAATTTTGTGGCCCTAGATGATGGTACAGGGTGCACTTCAACATATCATTTTCCTTAGGCCCCTATAGCCACCTCGTCCTGGCAAGGTATCGCAGGTGGTGTTGTGAGCCTGAGCTGTGTGATGCCGATTTGCGTCAAGAGCGCTTTGGCGCGGCGAAGGATGCAGCTGTTTCCAAGACAAGCGGCTGGCTGCCTGACAGCTCCACATGAGCTATAGTCTAAACTCCTTACAGGGGGGAGTTTATGTAGGGGAGTATTACAGGGGTTATCACGGGGGATACTAGGAGTTTAGACTATAGCTCACATGAGGGGCACTCTCTCATCACCAAGAAATAGAAGGATCCTGCTTCGTAGTGTCCTCACTTTCGAGACGGTCGCTAAATATCCACTTGGACCAGGTCAGACCTCGTGAACAAGGCTTCAAGGTCCACCTGGGATCAATGTTCCAGCCAGTCCTCGCATGCAGAAGCTGTACTGTCCTTAGGATTTTGTTTCGTTTTCATTATTATACCATAACCTTAAGCAAACAATACAAATATTATTGTTGTTATAGGTCTAAGGAAACTACAGAAAGATCAATAGAGGAAGTGTAAAGGGAGTGGTCAGCGGTGGCGTCCTGCACAAAAAAAGCACCTCCTGGAATACTTGAGCTGCAAGCTTTGAACATTTGTGACTTGCATCAGATGGGTGGCGAATGCACAGCACACGCACGATTTCAGCCGAGATCCGTAGCACATGCCTTGAGAGCTCCATTTGTTCCATAGCAAAAGCGGCGTTCCGGCGCCTGCCAACCAAAAACGGTGATGCGCAGCGTCGGTGCCATCTCGCTGCCGAGTTGCCAGAACAATCTGCTAGCGACTGATAACCAATAACCCTTGGCAAAAGCCTGAGCAAAGAAATCGCAAGTTCTGCAATTCGCTCCAATGGTCTGAAAGTCTTAGATGCTTCGGAAAATGAATCTGTTGCACCTATGAGAAGCGGAGCCGCAAAGGACTGTGCCAGTAAAAAAGCCTTGCTTCGAGTGGCAGGAGAAGGTGCTCTTGGCATGCTCACGGGAGCCTCTTTTGCTTCGACTTTGCTCAGCAGAAAGCGTGCAAGAGTTGTTGCGCTGCCGATGCTCGGGATCCCTGAATGGACAATCGGGCATGGCTACAACACGCAGGCAGCATCACAGCATAAAGGTGGGTAGCATTGCTGCTGTCTTTCTTACTATTACTATTCTTATAACTGTTTCATATCACTATCATTACTGCTAGGGAGGAGTCCTTTTGTTTAGACTGGCAAAGGGCAGATCAGGAGAACGCCGGTGCTTCAAGTGGTGTTGAAGGTTTGGGGCGCAGAACCTCGTGGTGCGCTTGGATGCCAGCCCCTCGGAGTATATAGGGATATGTGGAAATTATTCCTTAATGGAAAGGCAAATGGAAATCAAATGCAACCTACCTGGAGCCCAAAAGTATGCAACATAATGGCCTTAGGGCTATTATTTTACATACTTTTGGGGTTAAGGTAGGGTCTAGGTACTGTGCATAGGTTTTTTGGGGGGACGAGATACCAGCCATGAAAAGAGCGCAGCGACTGCTGCCCCTGATGGTGGAGACTGTGGCTCCTGCAACCTCACGAGGAACGGCGGAGCCGTTGGAAGCAACTTGCTCCATATTTTTACTACCTAAACCCCAAAAGTATGTAAAATAATGGCTTTTATGGCTATTATTATGGGTTTAAGGCTATGATTTTACATACTTTTGGGGTTTAGGTATAGGCGACCAGTCAATCCATCCATCAGTCCATGTTCCTTCAAATAGCCGCTGTTTTTGTCCAGATGAAATTGTGGGGGTCTAGCCGCAGGCTTTATTTTCATGTGATGGTCTTCTCGCATCAGAAAAGGGTTGGACTACAAGATTTTATAGGACGACCGTCAGGTTGCAAGGTCGCGTTTACGCAGACTACCGTCGGTCGGAATACTGGAGATGAAAGCTTTTGGTGAGTTGGGGCTTTGTTTCATGGCATGGTGGTAGTTTGCATAATTTAGTAAATAAGGGGACCCCAATATGGACCCTAAAATGCTAAAATTCTTATTAAAGGCACCCCAAAAAGGTACCCCTAAGTTTGGTAAACCCCCAAATACGAATATATGTGTGTATATATATATATACATATATCCTATACTAACCCTAATATATCCCCCATAAACCCCCTAATTTAAGGAAACCCCCTTGGTTGTGAAGCTAAGGAAGCCAAACCTGGAGGTGAGAAAGGGTGAAGATCTTCAGCGTGCCTTCCGAGTGGCCAAGGCGCACAGCAAGCACTTGTGGTTGAAAGTAGCTTAGGTGGACCCCCCCACACATAATAGTGACTGTAGGGGATGATGGTAGTTATGTTAGGGCCCTCTTGCATTGCTATTATGGGGTTTACCTATGCTGTAACACGTCTACCCATAATCGGGGTACTCGAACAAGGCCATTTCGGGGGCTAGACGTAGAGTTGTAAGCCGGAAAGTAAACAGTCACCCAGTCCAATGAATCACCAAGTAGAAAACGGTACCACTATATTGGTACGCTTGCTTTCAGAGTTGTCCCTTACAGGATATTCTTGAAGAGTGGTGAGGGAGAGCTTGCACACTGAGCTGTTTTCCTATGGGCTTGGATCGCCAATGTGTTGTTGGAGGCGGCCTTATATTGCCGAAGGCCATCCCCCCCAAGCGATTGGAAGGTCTAGCAAGATGGTGGGGGAAAGGCGAAGCAGCAGGATTACGTTATGAGCGTCCTTGTGACTCAATGCACTCATGCCCAACTCACTTTGTCAAAGCATTGCGAAGCCGGGTTGGGGTCGTCGGAATGCCTGTGTGTGAGAAAGATCAGTTAGGAAATGCTGTGGGCGCTTTTATTATGCGCAACATGCCTCGCAGGGGCAGCGGCCACACAGCTGAAGCGCCGTCTGCAAATCAGGAGCTGAGTGCTATGCTTGTAGAGGATGTCCATAGACTGGCGTTTTCGGCATCTTTCCTTGTCAGGAGTTTACCAGGCTACAAAGTCTGTAGCGCAGCCTGTGCTGGATCGTATCGTGCAGAGCCCGAAGGAAGGCGGGCCTTGGAAGTACCGTTCAACTCGAGCATTCGAACTCCAGGTTTCTTCTCACCGAGGAACCACAACAGGACTGCGCAAACAGCAGAGAGGCACTAGGCCTTCAACCAAACAGCCCGACATTAATGGATGGCACACGCGAAGCCAGAGGGTAGGCGTTTGTGATGGTGTGTAAGTTTCGGACTACGAAGCAAAAGCGCTAGGTGCGCGGACAACATCTCTGCTCGGATGAGGGCAAGATGTCGGTGTGCTGCTCGCAGGACACACTTGGCTGAAAAGAGTCTGCAGGGTAGCGCTGAACAAATGTGTTTAGC